AGCTGCAGCACATTTGCAAATCAGCGGGTCTGACCACGAAAGGAGGATGAACACTCCTCGACGATGGATGATTACTACAGCTTGGAAGTTTCCTCTTGCGACTCTTGGATTTTGTGCTCTAGTGTTTCTAGGGATTTTTTGTGAACCTTTGGATCTTTTCCCTGTGCTTACCCGTTACCAGGTTTTGGGAACGTTTATGGACTTCTGTGACTTCTCTGGATTACGTCTCTGGTTTTCTGCAACTCCTCAGGATTACTCACCTGTGCCCCATAGGATTTCCGGACGCAGCTCTCACCGTTCTCCATTCCTCCCGGCCGACCCGCTCTCCTACTCTCCTGCTCTCTTCTTGCTCCTTCTCATGGACACCCCACTTGGATTCACCCCGGCACCCAACCTACCCTCCCTCATTCCTACACTCCCCTACTCCCAGTAAGTCTATTCTCTGCACCCATCAAGTTTAGACTTTCCTTCCTGGATTCACCTGTATCTGCTCTCCCCTCCTCAGACGCTGAGCTCCCGTTCTCGATTTCCACTGGGCTTTTCCAGTGCACCTTCAGTTCCTGTTTTAAAAGAAAGATTCTTTTTTTTACCATAAGATCTGTGAGTGTGTGATTCCGCATGTCTTGGGTTAAACGCATTCCCCAAACCAAGTCAGAATCATCCGGCCAAACCGCTAACCCCGCAGACACACCTCTCACTGATCTGCTCCACAGGTTGTCTCAACAAGAACAAGCCCTGCCGCTGCTGATGGAGCAGTTACACGCAGCAAACAACCAATACTAGCAGTTGGAGGCCTTGGTGCGGCAGATACATGACAGGCTGTCCCAACCGCAGACTCAAGCCTCTGCTTCGGAACCTCCGCTGGCCGCCTCTGTTACTCCTGTTGTCCCCGGACCGGGAGTAGCAATTTCCACGGAAGTCACCCACTTCTGTCCAGCCGCATCACCGCCATCTCTGACCTTCAGCGGTGAGTTCAAGGACTGTTACAGCTTCCTTTTACAATGTCGACTCGCATTCGAACGATCGCCAGGAGCTTTCACCACAGACTCAATTAAGATCTCGTATATTGTTGGATTACTTCAAGGAAGAGCCCTGAGATGGGCGGAAGCGACGAGTCACTTTTCCATGTTCCTATCTGGCCCCTTTGAAGACTTTTTAACTGATTTCAAGCTGACTTTTGGCAGTACTGAGTCCGTTACGGATATCAGAAAATGGTTGTGGAATTTATTGCAGGGTCAAAGATCGGTGGCGGATATGTCGGTGGAGTTCCGAACTTTGGCAGCACGCTCTTCCTGGAATGAAGATGCCCTTCTCGCTGCTTTCACTGAGTCCCTCAACGACCGAGTCCAGAACCAGCTGGCATTGTGCCCGGAACCCCGTTTGCTGGAGGAACTCATTCACCTGGCTATATCCATAGATAAGCGCCATCATGAGCTGCGGCACCAGAGTTCTCACTCCTCCGCAGAGCCCACCTCCTCGGATGAACCCATGCAGATGGGAAGGACTCCCCTCACCCAAGAGGAGAGACAAGATCGTGTAAGTTCAGCTCTGTGTTTATATTGTGGGGAGTCTGGACACTTTGCTAAAGCCTGCCCAGTACTGTTAAAAGGCAGAGCCCACCAGTAAAGACGGGACTACTGGTGGGCAGTAACTCAGCTTCTTTGAGCTCCCGTTGCTTACTCCAGTGTTCTGTGTTTTTTAATTCTGAGCAGTTTACACTCGAGGCACTAGTTGACTCTGGCTGTGAGCAATCTTAGATGGACCCTGACTTGGTGAAGAGATGGAGGATCCCTACTGTTCGGCTGCCTACTCCTCTCTCTGTGTCATCTGTGGACGACCGGAACCTATCCACAATCACTCAACAGACCATCCCTCTGCAGTTACGGGTGTCAGGTAACCACACGGAGACTTTGGCTTTTTATGTATTTCCCTCTCCTCAGTCTCCGCTAGTCCTGGGTCAATCCTGGCTGTCTCTCCGCAACCCCCACGTGAACTGGAAAACAAACCGAGCAGAGGAGTGGAGCCCCGAATGTTCACAGTAGCATTCAAAACATTATTTTTGAATAATATAGATTATTCAAAGAGTTTAGAATAATCTAGCTAATTTTAGGACATCACATCACTGTATGCTAATGCAGAATATATCACAATTATTATACAATACATATATTTTTATAAAAACAGATTACTGTGGAATATTTTTGAAGTTATTGAACAATAGGTACAATTTCTGTTCAAATACAGATCATTATAATATCTTTGAATATTTTATATTTGAGGATTTGCCTCAATGTCATCTTCCTCCTGTTCATCATCACTGATGATAAGATTGGCTGGCAAAACAGTTGTCCTACTCTGTTTTTCATAGAAGTCTTCAAACTGCAACATATATTCAATAATAGAATTGCTATTGTTACTGTTACCATGATTATGATGATTATGTAAAAATATACATAATTTATTTTACTTGTTCAAATATGGCAGCTTGATGTTCAAACTATATACAACATATATATCCCTATTTAGCACAACTAGTCAACCTTGTGATGTGAGTTTCATATACCCATTGTTAGTTTTAGAGATCTAACAGTATATACAAGAGGAGACTGAGACATTTTTAGGCTCTGCAGACACACCAATATTTGGCACATCATAGCCCTGCACTGATTGGTGGAACAATTGTGGTTCAGGTCATCTTCCAAAGGTCTTAAAGCTGGAGGGTTCTGCTCAGTCTCTTGGCTCTTCCTGGGATTGCTTGGAGCCCCTGTAATAGTTGGGAGGGGGCAACAGCCTGCTTCTACAGGATCCTTGCATTTTCACAGTCTCTCTCTCTTTAAGTCCTTGCTATCTAAGGATCATCAATAGCACCATTCTTCTGTAATTTGCCAACCGCTGTGATGCATGGTATGTTCAACCAGCATTAGTTTGTCCAACTGAATGCGAGAATCCTGCAGGATCTTAATCATCTCATTCTCCTCTCCTTTGGAAATAATTCCTGCTTTCATGTTACAATGTCTACATCATCTTCAGGGCAATGGTGGCAGACGATTTGATAGCAATCAGAGGGTTGCAGGTTCAAGCCCCATCTGTTGGTATTGTTGTGTTCTTGGGCAAGACACTTCGCTCTTCTTACCTGCTGGTGGTGGTAGCAGCCTCACTACTGTCAGTATGCCCCAGAGCAGTTGTGGCTACATTGTAGCTAAATGCTACCAGAGTGTGAATGTATGAATGACTTGTTGTGTTATAAAGCACTTTGGAGGGTTGTAAGACTCTAAATGATGCTATTAAATAATCAATCTTATTGCTTTGTCTTTAAACATTTTGGTATACTTTGATCTAATTCACAAATGTCTGTTATAGAAGTGCTAAACCAATGGGTAGTTATTTATGAAATAGTCTATTTTCTGCAATTTACTGTTTTTAGTGTTTTCTCTGTTTCAAAGTTATTTTGCTGTTTGCAGCAATGCTATTCTAAAACTTTTATAACTTTTTTGGTTTTACCTTCCATTCAGTGGAATATTGTGGCTCATCTTTACTGGAGTTTTATTATTATTATTATTATTATTATTATTATTAGAAGTAGTAGTAGTAGTAGTAGTAGTAGTAGTAGTAGTAGTAGTAGTAGTAGTAGTAGTGGTAATGTGTCTTGTTCCTAAACCTGTCTCGGATCTTCTGTTTTGTTTTAGTTAGTTTAGTCTGGTCAAGTTAGGATGCTCAGGGCCTGCCATGCTCATGCAAAACATTTGTTTCACGACCCTGAGTGCCTCCTGCTGACAGGCTTCCTGCATTTGGGTCCTGCCTCACCACACCATGACAGTATAGTCAGTTTCATCCGGCTTCTCTTCCAGCTTCATTGGCTGCCAGTCAACTTCAAGGTTCATTTCAAGATCCTGGTTCTGGTCTTTAGGGCCTTACATGGACAAGCACCATCATACACTGGTGATCTTCTCAGTCCCTACACCTCCAGGAGGTCCCTGAGGTCCAATGGCCAAAGCCTACTGGTTGTGCAGCGCACCAGGCTAAAGACCAAAGGTGACAGATCATTTGCTGCTGTGGCCCCCCGACTCTGGACCCCCCCCACCACCACCCCCACCATCACCCCTGTGAGACTGAGATCAGTGGACTCCGTGGTCTCTGGTGAGAGGTGAGCTGAAAACTCATCAGGCTGGCTTTGGTGTGACCTTCATCACTACCTTCTCCTTATTCTGCTTTTTCTACCGATTCTGCCTTGCGGGATCCACTGATTACTTTTTCCTTTTTTATTTTCCCCTTCCTTACATTTTTTAATCACAATTTTATGTTTTTCATCATTTAATTTTTTTTTCTAGTGAATCAACTCGTGATTTGTATCTTAAGAGGTCGTTTTTTCTTCTTTCGTCTTCTAGCCAAAGTAGTTTAAGTCTGTCACACACTTTCTGTCTGGTATTTCCTCTGGAGGTTCGCAGGGAGCTGCTGTCTATTCCCACAGCAGTATCCTCTCATTCAAAAGTTAGAAAAAAGTCATAATCCAAAGTAATACAGCTCTTTTTCTGCTCCAAACACTGAGGCAAAGTCTGTTTTTTCTTCTCCTCGTTGACCGTTCATTTCTTCCTGCTGACTGTGATAGGATCCCGGAGAGGTACATTTGATAGCCGGTGCACCTTTACTCCCCTCTTCGCCGTGAGGCGCAGACTGGAGCGAAGCGACTCTGTCAGCTGTCCGATCCGTGCGCTTTTTTTTTCTCTCCCGGAGATACAATTAGATTATGGTGCATGCAGCGATAACCGTCTCTGCTTCTTGCTGCTCCTGCAGTAAAAGCTCGAACACCTTAATGCAAAAGCTCCCTCCTCGATTCTTCCTCCTGCTTCCGTCAGCTGATCCCCCCCCCCCCCCCCTCTCTCTCTCTCTCTCTCTCTCTCTCTCTCTCTCTCTCTCTCTCTCTCTCTCTCTCTCTCTCTCTCTCTCTCTCTCTCTCTCTCTCTCGCTGTTTGAGTGAGAAATGGGGGTGGGGGGAACACACATATACTGTTGCTCTGTCTGTCTTCCTCCTACAGAGCTCTGGGTCCCACAGCGGAGACTTCAGCTGAAAGACTTGAGGAAAGACGTTCATATTGATTTTCTTTCCACTTCGAAATAAGACCCTCGTGTTTATTTTTGTCGCCTTGAACACTGTCGCTGTGGAATATGTGCGTATTCCCAAGAAAGAAAAGACAAGACAACGAAAGATAATTTAAAGCAACACAAAGTAAGGTCAGTGGATGAGTTGTGTGGATGTTATTTACTGGATCTCCTCTTGTGGCTGCATCTCACCGAAGCGCCCGGGGAAAGCAACAGTGTGCGGAAAGTAGATTTGAATCTTAAACATATGGCTTCGGCGAGGATAGCGCGGTAAGTCTTCTCCTTAAACCTACTGTTCCCTAATGAAACATCTCTCCGTTTACTCTGAGCTGACTTCACTGCCCCACAGGAGCCCGTTTGGACTCCTATTTGTATTATTGTTGCTTTTATTGACCTTAAAACTGAATTATTAATTATACCAGTTTGTTGGTTTTACTGAAGCAGCGTGCACGTGTGTGAGGACAGAGACTCATCATGTAAAAAAGAATGAGGAAAAGGGCTTAGATGGTAAAATTTTATAAAGTGTACATTGATCTGGATCTGAGAGCCATGTAATCATAAGTAATCGCTGTCCATGGTGCTGAAAGAGTCTAGGAAATCGCTGCTGCTGCTTTGGTCGTTTTCAGGAATTTTATTCAAGGCGATTCTCGGCTTAATCTTCACAGCTTCCCTTACATCTGATCCCATCGTGGTTTAATTTTATCCTCCAGAAAATTAAGTTTTATTTTCATCAGGACTAAAAGTAGCATCTGCAGTATATAACTCTTCCCTGTGCTTCGTTGGCTTGCATGGGATCACTCCTGCTGTCAACGGGAATTTCACGAGAGTGGTTTGTTTTCAACAAGTACACACACCGTGAGAAGCTGCATCTAATCTGTCTGCAAGTCGTGCAGTGGTCCCGTCCACAGCAGTGTGTGTGTGTGTGTGTGTGTGTGTGTGCGTGTGTGTGTGTGTGTCCCGGATTATGAGGAGCAAAGGATTCATCCGATTAGTTTAAATTACGACAAGCTGTCGCCTCCCCAATGCAGGGCAGATAAAGAGGGGAGAAAGTTAAAGGTGACTCTAGGTAGAATCAATACCTTTTTGTAATTAACCCTCTTTTATTTTAATGCTCTTACAACTTCCTGCCTTTGGTGTTTTTTGGGGGTCTTAAGGTGGCTTGTACATTCATGTTGAGCTGAGTGATCACTGTATGTTGCTGTTGTGTCAAAGTGTGTCCCAGTGAGTACATAATTGGTGTCTACCTGTGTGTGTGTGTGTGTGTGTGTGTGTGTGTGTGTGTGTGTGTGTGTGTGTGTGTGTGTGTGTGTGTGTGTGTGTGCGCGTGCGTCTGTGTGCGTGCGTCTGTGTGTATGTTTGTGTGTGCTCCTGCGTGCAGGGAGGGGTCAGACAGACAGAATGTGTTTTGTGAACCTGAGACCCGTCCACTCCTCACCATGTCAAATCCTGTTAGTCATGCTGGATGACAGAAGCTCCAGGACTTCGATTTAAATAACTGTGGATTTCTCCGTGCCTCTGCAAGGGTGATTTGCTGTATACTCTTTAGGTATTAGTGCAGAACAAATCTGCTTTTTTCCACCATCCATTAAACAAAACCTCTCTTTTAACTGAATAAAATTAATAACTAGACTAAGCACAGTTAAAACGGCGTTGCAACAACTATTTATACTAAAACAAACAAAACAGTGCATATTATAATATTGATTTTTGGCATGCCATGCTTTAAATACCTAGGCGTTTGGCTGGATTATGATCTGATGTTTAAAACTCATGTTCTTGCAACTACACATAAACTCAATTCTCGGCTAAAATACTTGTTCACTCTGTTAACTGTCTTAACGTTATGATCAGAAAAAGAATAGTCACACAGCTGCCTACTTTGGACTATGCTGACATTATTTATCAAAATACCACTGTTTCTTGTCTGCATTCTTTAGATGTTGGATATAACAGTCTTTGCCGTTTTGTGCTTCGCTGTCCCTTTATGACACCTCACTGTGTGATGGATGGACATTTATCCTGGCTTACACCTTCGGCCAGGAGACAGTTTCACTGGATTCAGTTTATTTTCAAAAGCTTTTATTATAACTACCCTGATTATTTTAAGTTACATTTGGTACGTTACAACTCACTTCACTGTCTGTGACATAATGATCAGATCTTTTTTGTTGTTCCTAGAGTTAAAAGAGAGGTAGGGAAATATGCTTTTAGTTTTAAGGCCCCGCAGATTAGAATAGTCTTCCCTTTTCTCTCCGGTCCATATCTTCATTTAGAATGTTTCACAGAGCCTTGAGTGATCATTTTCAGAACATTTGTTCATGTTACTTATCACGTTTTCTTGACTTCTGCTCTCACTGGTCATGCATATACACTCATATAAGCGCAACACCTTTGCTTCTGCTCCGATTTTTCATGAGATGGACTTAAAGATCTAAAATTAATTGCAGATACACAATATTACCATTTCTCTCAAACATTGTTCACAAATCAGTCTAAATGTGTGATAGTGAGCACCTGTGCTTTGCTGAGATAATCCATCCCACCTCACAGGTGTGCCACATCAAGATGCTGATCTGACTTCATGAGTAGTGCACAGGTGTACCTTACCCTGGAATGTGCAGTTTTTTGCTTTATTGGGGGTCTGGGGACTCAGAACTGGTCAGTATCTGGTGTGACCACCATTTGCCTCATGCAGTGCAACACATCTTCTTCGCAAGTTTATCAGATTGTCAACTGTGGCCTGTGGAATGTTGGTCCACTCTTCTTCAGTGGCTGTGCAAAGTTGTTGGATATTAGTGGGAACTGGTACACACTGTCGTATGCGCCGGTCAAGCACATCCCGAACATGCTCAATGGGTGACATGTCCGGTGAGTATGCTGGCCATGCAAGAACTGGGACATTTTCAGCTTCCAAGAATTGTGTACAGATCCTTGCAACATGGGGCTGTGCATTATCTTGCTGAAACATGAGGTGATGTTCATGGATGTACGGCACAACAATGGGCCTTAGAATCTCATCACGGTATCTCTGTGCATTCAAAATACCATCAATAAAATGCACCTGTGATCTTCCTTTATAACAGATGCCTGCCCATACCATAACCCCATATAAACCGAGCTTCTAACCCTATCTCTCAGGGAGAGCCCAGCCACTCTTCAGAGAAAGCTCATTTCAGCCGATTGTATCCGCGATCTCATTCTTTCGGTCACCACCCAAATCTCATGACCATAGGTGAGGGTAGGAATGTAGATCGACCGGCAAATTGAGAGCTTTGTCTTCTGACTCAGCTCTCTCTTCACCACGACAGACCGGTACAATGCACACATCACTGCAGATGCGGCACCAATCCGCCTATCGATCTCACGCTCCAGTTTTCCCTCACTCGTGAAGAAGACCCCGAGATACTTAAACTCCTCCACTTGGGGAAATACCTCATCCCTGACCCGGAGAAGGCATTCTACCCTTTTCCGAATCAAGACCATGGTCTCAGATTTAGAGGAGCTTATTCTCATCCCAGCTGCTTCACACTCGGCTGTGAACCGCTCCAGCGAAAGCTGAAGATCACATTCTGATGAAGCCAACAGGACCACATCATCTGCAAAAAGCAGAGACCTGACACCAAAACAGATGCCTTCCGCACCTTGGCTGCACCTAGAAGTCCTGTCCATAAAGGTTATGTGCAGAATCGGTGACAAAGGGGCAGCCTTGGCAGAGTCCAACTCTCACTGGGAATGAGCCCGACTTACTGCCGGCAATGTGGACCAAGCTCTGACACCGGTCATACAGGGACCTAACAGCCCATACCAGAGGGCCTGGTATCCCATATTCCCGGAGTACCCCCCACAGGGCCCCCTGAGGGACGTGGTCAAACGCCTTCTCCAAATCCACAAAACACATGTAGACTGGTTGGGCAAATTCCTACGCACCTTCCAGGATACCCCTAAGGGTATAGAGCTTGTCCGGTGTTCCACAGCCAGGATAAAAACCACTTTTCTTCTCCTGAATCTGAGGTTCAACAATCCGACGGACCCTCCTCTCTAGGGTTGTCACGGTAACTGGTGTAGCGGTAAACCCGGTAAAAATAATGACAAAAATAATAACCTTCTTGTTTTTTTTTAAATATATTATCTCGGTGGATTACCGTGGCTGCGGTGTAGGTGCGGTGACCCTTACCAGCCACCGTATCATCTGCTGAAGTTGCCGGTGGCACATGTGCACTTTGTTGTTTACAACCAAAACTTTCTTGAAGCTAAAGCTGAAATCATGGCCAAAGGAGGAGATGGCAGCGCACAGGACATTTATTATCCGTCACAGAAGACAGAGTAGGAAGTATGGGCATTTTTTTGGGATATTTGAAGAATGCAGAGGGAAAGTTGATAGAAGACGGCTATCCTGTTTGCAGCACGTGCAGGAAAAAGTGTCTATGAAAGGCAGCAATGCTTCAAATCTCATGACACATCTGCGTGACCATCACCCACAACTCTACAGTCAACGCAAGGCAAGCTAACGTTAGCGTTTTAGTTAAAATGCGTGATACGAGGATTTGGGTTGAGGGAGAATGCAACGAGTTGCTATATAAAGCTGCTGCAGTGCCGCTACCTGCATATAAACCGTGTCGCGGACACCCCCATATTGAAATGACGCTATGCATTACGGGGCTCCCAGGGGCAGATAAGAGTTGGTCTCTCTCTGAGAATAATTATGAATCTAACAATGATTACTGCCTGATGGCATTTTCCCAGATCTGCAAAGCTCACTGGAAGGACACAAACCGAGGACAATATTTTCCTGATATAGGGTTTATTACTCAAGTAAGGGTAAAAAAAAATATCTGATTAGAAGTTGACGTGAGTACTGAGTATCATCTGATCTAATATTTTTAAAGTTATGACAAACAGACAAAAAATAAGAAGTTATGGGCAAATATTGGTATTTTAAAGACTAAAGGGGAAAAATGTAAACAAATAAACAACATAATTACAAAATAGCAAATTTGAGGAAAAATTTAGACACAAACTGAGGACAATGTTTTCCTGATATACAGGGTTCATTTAGTTGTCTGAAAATGTAACATGTTTAAAAAGAATACTGCGATAATACCGAAAACCGTGACAATTTTGGTTACAATAACCGTGAGGTTAAATTTTCACACCGTGACAACCCTACTCCTCTCCAGAACCCCTGAATAGACCTTACCAGGAAGGCTCAGGAGTGTGAACCCCCTGTAGTTGGAACACACCCTGGAATACTTTCTGGACTTTGGAATACG